TAACAAGGCTAATAGTTAAGCTACTTGTTACGCGTAAGTTACTAAAAAATATTTACTTATATAGGTTTTTAAATTTAATAGGCTTTGTTTAAAAAAAAATCGCCTTTTTATAAGCTTGTTTTTAAATTAATAACACTATTACTTTTTTAAACGATATTATTATATATAATAAGATATACGTTTTATATTATTAGCTTAGCGGTAATAATAAGGTTATTTAAATTTTAATTAAAGCCGCTAACGTTAAGTAAGGCATTTTAAACGTTTTATTTCTTTTTTAAGTGTATAAATTTATTTTTAATTTATTTAGCGCTTACTTTAGCGCTATATACTTTATTTAAAATATTAATTACGTTTTAATAGCCTTTTATTTTTATTTCGCCGCTTAATATACGTAAGTTATTTTAAACCTAAATAAGGTAATTTTTAAGCAAAGCTTTAATAAAGGTAAGGGTTTAATTAACTTTATTATTATTAATATTATTTTTGCCGATTTATTAACTAGCTATAGCTTAAAAGTTTTTTTAATTTAATTAGGGAACGGTTATTTAGCTAATAATAATAAAAGCTTAGCTAAGGCTTAGTTTTTTATTAAAAAAAAGCTAGCTAATAAAAAGCGACGTTTGTTAAATGTTTTTGCGAGGCATGTTAGGAAAGAAGTAAGTGTTTTAAGATAAAAAAGTAACGTTAATATAAAATAGTTTTATATGAGAAATAAGTAATAATTAAAGGATTTAATTTATAAAAAAAGCATATTACATTTTTAACAGGTTATATATACATAAAATACCGGAATTAAACTTTTAAATTAGCTAATAACCTTTCTTAATTTGGTAATTATAATAATAACGCGGTTTATAGCGCGTTTAGTAAACGAAGTTATTCGTAACAGTAACGGTAACGTAAAAAATAAATAGGTGGCAAAGTGACGGGAAGTTGTTTGTTATAATTTCTCGAAAAAAATAAACGAAGCTTTTAGCATATTACCCGCCCGGCTTATTTCGCCGGTAAGCCGATGTGCGGAAAGCTAGCTTGTGCCAAGGCCGGGCACGGGCCATAATCTTCTAAAAAGATTCGCATAAGAACACCCCCTCAAGCGACGCCCCTTTCCAAAACTGGCTAAATAGCCCATTCGCCCCCGGGTCGAACGAAACCTGCACTTTGAATCCGATGGATTATTCCGCCACCAGAATGAATGTCCTGTTCATTGGGATCCTACTGCGGACAACAATACAGCAAGCAGCAACTAGAGAGAACGAATGCGCGCACAACGCGGGTGTAAGATCGGAAAGGTGGCCGGGTAGGGACTCCGAAAGGCGAAAAGAAGATGCGCGACAGGGTTGTCTCACGCGCGCCCGCCAGCCCGCCCACCAACCCGCCCACACCGTGCCCGTCCGGGTCACCGAGATCTCATCAATTCCCAGATCCCTGCCCCGAGTGCGGGTGCAGGATGCGATTTGCGCCAGCCCAGCCACCGCGACCTGTTCCTACTACTACTACTACTACTACTACTCTATCTACGGATATCATGTGATTCTTCACCGTACAGCCATCGCCATTCATGACACCCGAGAGCACTTATTATCACTCACTTACTGCCCACTTACTTTACTTACCCAAGGTACTCACTCACTTTAGGCACTAACCAACCAGGCTGGTCTACATACCACGTCCACCGCAACAAACGCCAACAAGGCCAAAATCGTCAGGTCAGCGAACCCGACGGCACGTACACACGTACCACCACCGCCGCCGCCGCCGCCGCCAGCGTGTGCGACTCGGAAGCTCTGCGTCGCGTTGCGTATCCACTATCACGAGGGACGCGGAGGGAAAAAAAAAAAAAAAAAAAAAAAATCGTGTATACATATATATTGCGCTGGCGTGGCACCCCAGACAAATCCTGCGACCGCGACCATCGTCATTAATAAGTTGCGTGTGCCGCGCCCGCGCACCCCCCCTGCCGTGGCACCCGAGCAGGCAGGCAGGCAGGCAGGCAGACCCGGGGACCTGGCGACGAACGAAGGCCGATGACGATGAAAGACCTTGTGTGCGAGTGAGCCTGTGGTTCCGAATCGCGGCCATGCGCGCGTGCGTACTTGGGTAGGTAGGTAGGGCTACGATAGGTGGGTAGGTAGGTAGGTATTTCTACTTGCGCTGGCAGGTATCTACCTAACGTAGCTGGATACAGTATGCCCAAGGTACGCGTCCTTGGCTGTTAGGCCTATATAAGTAAGTACTTTACCCAGATGACCCGAGGCGCTGGGAGCCAAGTCGCGGGCGCGAGGCAGCGACAGCGAGACCCTCTCCCTGGTTCACGACGAAAACTCGTGGTACGACGTGGAGGGAGGCTGGCAAGAGGGCCATGTGTCGTAGGCAGTGCCGACCTAGTGGTTGTACCAGGTGCCGCTGGCCGCCTTCACCCAACCAATTTCTACTCCTCGAGGGTATCTTGGATCGACATGATGGAGTCCCCGGGCTTAGTCGCGACATGACGTGGGCAGATGCACACAAGGTAAACGGGGCAATGAGCCTTTTGATTCTGGAGGGGTTTCTGCCTTGTATAGGTATGGAGAGCGGAGGCTCGTATTTCTCTTTTACTCGCAGCTGGCTCTGAAGCCTCTCTGATGTAGACTGCTTGAATAGCAACCCAACAAGCTGCCATACTAGGTTGCTTTGCTGGCAGCCAACATATCAACCTCATATGTATGGGCTGCCGTCTCCTACGTGAAACGGCGCGCGGGCGTGGCAGTTGGTTAGATACATACCCGTAGCAGCGGTCGGGCAGGTAGACTTAGTTGCGTAGAGATTCCCGTTCTAACGCGACCAACACGGCATCGCCGAGGTCCGGAGTTGAGGAGGCCGAGTGGCATCCAGGCATAGTCCTTACCTTCAGATCCGAATAGACTAGGTAATTCAAAGGACGAGATGGAAGGCCGCGCTCCTCCAACTGCTCACTGATCCACTACACCTCAATTGACTGAGTGCCTGACTTCCCGATCTTATCATCGACCTCAACCGCCACGTCCGCGTCCTCTCCCCCGTCCGCGCCCAGCATTGCGACCGCCTCGCTTGCCACCTCTTCCGCCGGGGCCACCGAACCGCTCGTACAACTTCTCGTCGCCGAAGGCCGTCTCCGCGAACCGGAGATAGCTGACGAGGCCGCCGTCGACCACCGCGACGATGGCGCTGCGGGTGCCGTGCTTCAGGCGGCGGTAGGTCTGGCCCATGCCGCCAGCACCACCACCACCACGCCCTCCCCTGGCCGCAGGCGGCGGGGGGTCCCACGGCGCCCCGCCCACCAGCGCGTCCATCTGCGCCAGGGTCGGGACGTCGCTGGCGCGGGCGTCGACCACGGCGATGCGGAAGCTCGGGGCCGGCGGCCGCGTCTTCGTGAACGGGCCCGTGCTCGGCCACACGTGGAAGTGGACGCGGAACGGCTCTGCTTGGGCGTGCGGCGGGGTGACGGAGGGAGAGGGTCGGTGCCGCGGGACCAAGGCTAGTTGCGCGAACACGGGCGCGTACGAGCGGTAGAGGCCCGGGCGCACGAGGGGGCCGTAGGGCGGTGCGTTTGGGTTCGGGTCGTTGGAAGAGGAGGAGGAGGACAGCAGGGACACGAGCCACTGCCATAGAGACTGCTGCGCCGCCGACAACGCCAAAGAGGAGGCGGGTTGATGGGACACGGGCGGCGCGCGCAACACGCGATAACCCGTCCGCCGCAGGTGCGCGTAGACCTGGTACTTCTCGAGCGGGATCTTGCCGCGCTCGTCGGCGCGCCCGACAAGTAAGGCGTAGGCGGCCTGGAGGCTGAGGGGCACGCCGAGTTCGTAGTCCTCGAGGGCCTTGTCCTGACCTCCTCCATCCCCGGAGTCACGGGCGGACCCGCTCGCCGGCGGGAACACGTCCTCGATGCCGCGCGCCGGCCACCACAGGTCCAGCGAGCCGCGCTCCAGGAGATACAGCGCCTCCTCGGGGAGGAGCCAAGTCTTGTTCGCGCCGGGCCGGGCGCGGTCGACCCCGGGCCCCGTCGGCACTCGTCCCGTCGTCTGCAGGAGGGAGCCGCGATCCGCGTCCAGGACGACGACGCGATCGCGGGCGAAGACCGGTGCCGCCTGTTGCTCCCCGGCCCCGCTGCCCTTCGTCCCCGCCAGCTCCTCGTCGTCCACCGGCGCATCCTCCCAGTGCAGCGGGAAGTACCAGCCTCTCAACCCCTCGCCGCGAGGGCGGTGCGTGCGCGTGTAGGAGAGGACCTCGTGCATGGCATTGCGGCTGGTCTCGAGCACGCCCTCCTGCGCGCGGGTGCCGTGGGCCTCGAAGTCCTTCTCGCCGCGGCGGACCGACTTGCTGGAGGCGGCCGACTTCTTCTTGGTGATCGAGGACGAGGACGACAGGGACGCGGCGAACATCCGAAAGTCTTGCGCCGTATCCTCGCCGGCCAGTGCGTCGTCCGCATCGTCGTCGTCGTCGCCGCCGCCGCCGCCGATGTTGGGGCGCGGGTTGGTCGAAGCAGGGGAGGAGGAAGAGGAGAGCGCGACCGGGTCTTCGTCGTCGAAGGGCATGATCGCGGAGGTGCACACCGCGCCGGTGGCTTTACGAATTGGGATTTGGGCGCTGGTGATCTCGTGTTGGCCTCGAAGTGTAATGGCAAGCAAGTCTTTAGAGCAATTAGCAGTAGCAAAGGTCCCCCAAGTGTGGGCCTTCTAGTAGATCGATCTACAGCTCGGTTTGCGATTGAGCCGCGACACAAGAATAATCGGGGTCCGAAATCCCTTATCAGTGCCGCGGTCCTTTGAATGCACGATCAGAACGAGTCACTGCACCGCCGCCCTTTGATAACCATGGGCAAAGCAGTACAATGTAGAACTATAGGGCTTCATCATCTGCACTGTTGCAAAATCTAAGGGCAGTTGACTTCAATTGGGTACTCGGACCTTAGAAGGCCCCTGCATTGCTATGATATATACTCATAAGCCAACAAAACTTTCACCAAATCACTAAAAATTGCAAGTTTGGCCGAGTGGTTAAGGCGTCGTGTTTAGGCTCGCTTAGGTGAACCAGTAACAACCGCGATGGGAAACCGCGCAGGTTCGAATCCTGCAGCTTGCAAAAATACCTTTTACTTTTAGCCATTATCAATTATTTTTTCGCCAGTTAAATTTTTCTTTCCGGTCTCTATACTACTTGTCCTCACCTGCCTTTTGCCAGTGGCCGGTGACTGTGAGCAGTATTGAGCCAGTTGTCGGTGAAATTGCATTTCATCTTCAACTGCTGGCACGACGTTGCTTAATGTTCTACGTGAAGTACGCCATCATTTGGATTGAACAGGTGGATATCACAGGGACAGATACGATCAACTGGACCGACTGACATCTGTTCTTTGAACCATTTGCAACTGTGTTGATTTGGACGACTGCACGCCTAATCGCTGGATTGTAATCCAACCAATCTCTTCCAGATATGTCTGCCAAATCGACTGACCGATAGAGTCTCAGAAAGCCTCGACCGGCACATATTATATATATACAGTAACGCGCAGTCATAATGACTCCTTGAATGCCCCAGCCCCTAGAAGGTATCTCAGTAGGCAAAAACACCATGCGCCGGCCCCTTGTATCGGTATCGCGACTCCCACTGCGGTTCCGACTCAACCAGGATCTGAGCCTTAGCAGACAGTTGCCGTATAGAACAGCTACGCATTACTCTGGCCTGTATCTCCTCCCAAACGCCCAAAGGTCGATGCGCTGATTTATCCCTGAGCAGTAAACCACTTTCCAAACAACGCCAATGTTCCTATGCGCGGGCTTCGACGTTTCTCTCCTAGTCCGTAGTCGAGTCTAGAATTCGTTTTCGAAGCGTCGGATTCGCGCCGCTTCATCAGGACGTAGTTATCGTTCGGTCGACTCAAGATCCGGGCTGCATCGCATGTCTCGTTTCCACAACGCGAGCAAGGAGAACGAGTCGTAGGGCCAACGAGGCCAATGCGGTGGTGCGAATGCCTCTCTGGTGTCGGAGTGAAGCTCGGTTGAGGCATGTTTCGAACTCGAAATCCTGCTCAACGTATCTTGTCTTCACTTGATAGGAAATCGTGACTGAAGTCCCTCGGAACGGGAAACGGTTGCATGCAAACAGACTCAGCTTCCCGTCCGACCAGACGTAGGCGCTCCCAAAGTCTGAACGCATCCGCCAGTGAGCGCGACGTTGGCCACAGCTCGATAACATTGCGTGAAGCGCGATAGGCCATCACCAGCGACGAGAGCGGAGCTTATCACCGAACCGCAGGTGCCTCACTCGATCAACGGTTTCTTTTGTCCTCCAACCACACACAGTCCTAACGTCGCCAAAGCATGGGGGTCATTGGCAAGAACAATGTTGCGAGCTGGTAACATCGGGTTGGTTTGATCGATGGACGAAGCATCCTTCGCCGCTTGTTCGATGGCGTCCATTTCCTCCTTGCATGCTTGGTGGTCGAGGGGACAGATGACGATCAGCTGCCGAAGAGTGATGTCGCGCGCCGAATTCAGATGGGCCTGAGGAGAAGGTCAGCAGCTACTCGACATGGCCTGCAAGAGGTGGAGTCGACTTTGACGTACCTTAACGCTGAGATAGTACTCGATCTTATACAGCGTTGAAGAGGTCGAGAACGATGTGACTTCGTAGTTAGGGAATGCTGGCTGTCCCCGGCGAATAACACCGTTATGATCTCGCAGGTCCTTGTGTGGAAAAATGACGCCCATGTTTGTCACATAACCTGCCTCAGGCAACTTGACTCCAACAGCCTGAACGTGCTTCTGTAATCTGTTGATCTTCTTCGTGGGTTCGTCGCCCTCTGGATTGTACGTAATCTCTTCTTCAATTGCCAAAGTAATCTTGTTTATGGTGACCTTTCTCGCCTTGGTCATCCAGTCGAGATTGGGTGCCAGCTTGATGTAGACGGCGATCGGGTCCATAGGCCCGTAGCTCCAACGCGGTAACGAGATCCCTAATGTGACAATGTTGTCGGCGGTTGCAACCTTGGTTTCCGGGCGATTGTACATTCCAAAGGTCGACAAGGTGTCGTATCGTTGCAAGGGTATGGGAAATGCATATTTGTTTTGCATACTCTGGCCCTGCTGCAGCGTGACGACCAACTCGTAATACGTCTCCGCGGTCCTACTAGGAAGCTGCAAAGATGCAGGCGGTATCCTCCGGTTGGTCTCCTCACCTCCTCGTCCGAAGGGGATGAATAAGACAAAGGGCAGGTCCATGGCCACGACACTGTCCGCATTCCGGCCCGATGCGCATCGATATAGTAGAAGTTCCTTGCCGACGACATCGGTCGTCTCCCGGCGGGGCGTGCCCAGGTGACGCTTGGCGACATTTTCGGCAGCTGGGTGAATGGTTTCTCGTCGCTGCAAGCATATTCGCACGAGGGAGATGGCAACAGGCGCAGAGTACCCGTGCTGTGGTCTGATCTCGACCTTGCCTTCAATGCGCGGCTACATACATGGTCAGTCTGGGGAGGGCCACTGAGAGGTGGGTTTGGAAACCATGAGGCTCCCAATGCGGGCTCGTGCTCGAGCTCTCGAACCCCCACCCGAAAAGGCGGGATCGGGAAGGGCGATAGCTCGAAGATCGAAGATTGACGATGGAGAAACTCACCAAGGTCGCGGAAATGCCAGGATAGCCGACCAGGAAGCTGCTGTTCGGGGGGCCCGAGACGCGCACGAAGGCAGCGACACCTCGGTCTGCCATGGTTCTCGTGGACGCAGTCGATGCCGAGTTGTAGGAGAGGGGAAGAGACGGACGTTGAGCGAGGCTGGATGGTCGGCATCTATCCGCGGTCGGCGGCAATGCGCCGACACCTGCTGGCGCAGTGCGATGGCGGGACGATCGATGCGGTTCAGGTCTGATCGCGATCATTCCATATCACACCTTGGAAGGGCCAAGTCCGTGTTGTGTCACCGGGCTGCGTTGCTTGCGTCGAAGCTGTGGGTTCGTGGACGGCCGGACTGGACAGGCGATGTCGGTACGTCTGGCCGGGGGGGGTATCGTAGGTATTGTAGGGGTCCGTTTCTTTGTCGAGGAGGAATAGGTGAATGCGGCGGTGGGATGGTTGGAGCGGTCGGGAAGCGGGAGGGAGGGTTGAGTAGACGCTTGAAGGGAGGTAGACAGTAGAAACAGACCCAAGGCTCTGCTACTTGCCGCTGGCTGCTGGTAGCTGGCTGCTGGCTGCTGGCAAGGTAGATCAAGTCAGGCAAGGTGATCAATCCAACCTTAGTACATTTGCTGCAGGTGCTGTTGGCGAACGGGAGGAAAACAATAACGGGCGGCTGATGTAAGGTGCAGCAAGCCAAGGTGTGAGGTGTGCGCTGTGGACTGTGGACTGGGTGGGAGACAGCAGCAGTAGGGTCGCTCTGCAGCCTCCTCCTACTACACTACCTAGACCCTTTACCGCGACAGTCCATATATGTATCTGGACTCCGCGGCGTGATGGATGGATGGATGGATGGATGGATGGATGGGTGTCTGTCTGGACGTTTGGCGGACAGGGCTGAAGACCGAATGCAGAAGACAGCGCGCAGGACAGCGCTGAACAGAGATCCCGAATAGCAGACAGTCACTCCGGACAGCGGCAGCAGATTCGATGCTTGAAGCGGGAGAAACTGGGCTGGCTGAGCAGTGAGGGAAACAGGCGACGGGCAATGAGTGGGATGGGCAATGAATGGCTTTCGGACGGCAGACGACGGCGTGCCGTTGGAGCGTGTCTTGGACCGAGGGGAGGCCGGTCGCTCTGTGCGGCGGCGGCGGCGTCGGCGGCGGTGTCGACACGCTGCTGCGTCGTGTTATTAGCCGTAGCACTACGGTGAGGTAAAGAGTCACAGAGTGATGAGCGTGCGAGTGAGCGAGCTGCTCTGCCTCATCAGTACCTCTGCTCTGACTGCAACGGCACTGGCACTGGCACTGACACTGACTGTATGCCCTCCGGCGGTGGATGGAGATGGAGATTGAGATGTGGGATGCAGAGAGTGGCCCTGGCTGATGGGTGCCAAGTGGTAGGGCGGGCGGTGCAGCGGGTGCAGCAAGGAGCTAGGTGGGAGTTGGGAGTGATGGACGGACGTGTGGACGTGGGGCCCGCCAGGCTTGCTGCTTGCCAGGGCAGTTGATGTGGGTTATCAGCCAGGACTGGCAAACATCTCAGGCATTGGCAGGGTACAGGTCCGGGGCAGGCTGGCCTCGGCTGGCAACTGGCAGGATGCTGTCACTCCTCTTTAGGCAGACCTGCGACCCTGCCTTCCTGCACAGGCAAGACACCAGGGCCCTGGGGCCCCTATCGAGCTTCGACCCAGGCTAGCCAGGCCTCCGCGGCATTCGGGCATCGTGCCAAGCGCCTATCTCTCTCACACTCAGCTGTTGACCCCGCCTTGCAAGGCCTGGCAAGGCAGAAGCCGAGCCTGTACCTGTATGCATTGCAGTTTGACTCGTCAAGAGAACCTTAGACACCATCGGCTTCACTACGGGACTGCTTGCTCTACCCTCCGTCACTGCACAATTATGAGCAACGCCGCCCAAGCTGCGGTAACCCGGCATCTAGCTTCTCTCAAGAGTTCCGCACCCGAAATATGCCATGTTGCAGAATATCAAGCATATCTTGGAGGCCTGGAAAGGCCCGACATCGCGCCAGACTTCCTGGGTGTGGGCCGGGTCGGGCAGTTGGCGGTAAGAAAGTTTCGATGCTGCACGAGCAGACCGACGTCTGGTTTGCCGTGTGCCTAGGTACCTAGGTAGGTAAGGTTAACGCCCTCGAGGAGGTAGATGACTCGGGTGTATCAAATCTCTACTGGGATGATCTGAGTAGGCAGGGAATGGGATTCCAAAAAAGGCCTCGTCAACCAGAACGAAGTTCCCATCAGCCAGGCCATTAATGTTCAGCTGGGCGGAGAAAGCGCCCGCGTCGAAGTGAGCAAGCTGTGGCAGGATGACGCTTGCAATTAAAACCCAATCGATGTGGATACATCCCGATTGCAAACAATACACTCTTGATGCCAACCACTTCTGACTTGGTGCTTGCATGAAGAGAATTTCAAGCAATCAACTGCTCGCATCGTACGTTCTCTCTGTTCGTAGAC